TTTTAAAATCACATTATTTTAATTATTCTATATTATGTGATTATATAGAGGTAATTTCATTACTTCTATTTAATCACCCCTCTATATTATCACCAAAAAGTGCTAGATAAATTGGGTGATTATATGGGAGGACGACTGTACTACGTATGAATATTTTGGAATTCCGTATCTTGATAACTATAAGAAATTCATATACAGGAAATTAAGCATTAATGAATTATAACTATATCGAATTACATACCTTTTACATTATAGTAGCTTTATTTTTTATCTTGCCAATAACAAAGTTACTCCACCCAGAAAACTTTAAAGTAGTTATTTAGAAGATCAACTATTTTCTTATCATTTTTTAAATCCAAACAATATAAAGAATTTACTAATGGATGTATCAATGATTCGACAAATTGTTCACATAATAAAGAACCTGAGCTTTTTAGATACCCATAAACCCAAACTTTGAATGAGTTTGCATGATCACCATCGATAAAATGATCACACATTCTATTATCAATATGAATTCCTAAACATATTGCATAACACGCGAGAACTTTATCTGATAACATGATAATTTTCAACAATTCCAAATAATGGCGCGATCTATTGGGGAAACAGTTGGTAATTTTTGTAATGCAAAATGAAATAATTGAGTGACCACATATCTTCATCATACGCCACTCAAAGTTGTTGGTGTGATAAGCAAAGGTAAATTTTGCCACCTCAGGGGTGAGATGTGGTAAAGGTGGAAAGTCGACTCTTGGAAAAGGGCTTGAAAATATTGCTACTGCGGTGGATCAATATCGATATAGAGTTAGTAAAAGGCAAATCAAAATTTATGATCAGCAAATAAAGTACCTTGAGGTTGTGATAATTTCAGAAGAGTAATTATATTTTTCTCCATAGTTGTTAAAGATGAATGGTTAACATTTTAAGATTCGTTGTATATTTATAAATTTTTGAATCATAATAAACAACTTAGATTTTAGATCTATCCAACTAGAAAAATTGTTAACTAACAATGCTTAGTAGATGAATCGAATTTTGATAGGCCATACACGATGACCTTAGCATGTATTATTACTCGCCGTTCATGCTAAACATAGCGATATAACTAATAGAAACATAATACAATGGATATAAAAAAAAAAACTGGCGTTTCATATGTGAATTATTAATAATTATTAATAATTATTTTAATTTAGAATTGCTGCATTATTTTCATTACCAAAATTTTTTTTCAATTCGATGACATAACAATTCTAATTATTTCAATAAACTCTTAGTAAAAAAAAGTTAATAGGAATATAGTGTAATAATTTGTAACTAACGCCAATAGAATTCTTTCTATAACGTTATGATGTAAAAGAGGAACAAAGAATAACTTGCAATATAGGTTACCCTACTCTATAATCAATTGTTTTAATAATACAATTTATTAGAGGGGTTATTTATCCACAAGAAATCCGAGAAAAAAAATCATTACCCTAGAAGTGCTGCGATTCTAAGGTGCCGAAGATATTCAATATTTTTGGGATTGTGAAGATCCCTTAATGCTTCCTGAATAGCAAGAACAGCAAATACGTAATAACCAATATATGTTTTAGTTCCTTTGATATCTTACTACCATTAACAGATCTAAAACTACTAGAAAATAAAAAGTAGTTCCTCTTTATTAATAAAATAACCGTTTTTTTGTCCCCGTGATAACTAAAGATCTTTCTGTATAAATCATTAAATAAACTCTGACCAACGTCATCGAACGTAAGAAAGTCGAACCCCACATTTAGTATCGTGATCAAACTCGTGATTCAGAGATTTGAACTAAGCTGTGAAATAAAGAATAGTAGAAATTAAATATTAGCTATTTTGTTCATCGCCTACGTTACGCTCGTGAGACCAGTGTTGTACATTTGACTGCCCCAAGTTTTTTTTTGACCTTGCCCCTAGGGATGTTAAGTGGACCGTCTGGTTCAGTCCCGGTCCAGTTCCTGAGAAGTCTGGTCATGGACTAGTTGAAAACGAGTTCATCCCCTGTCAAAAATTAGTTAAAAACCGGTCCTACCCTAGCGGTTTAATATAATTTTGAAACTCTATATACATAAAAACAATAAAGAATTTACCAATTGAAGCACTTAATATCCTATTAACAATTAGTGAAGGAATGTCATTATTAATCGAAAGCGGAAGACTATAATAAAAGCCATCTGTACTTAACTAATTTAATTCTTCATTTGGAAGTACCTCTCATTAATCGCCCAATCAGCGAATTTAAATTGGAACACGTGAATAACTATTTAAAGTACCACAGTATCGTTCATGATTTCTTATTTATTGAATTTAATTTAATGTGTCAAAAATGACACTCTATTAATATCATGTGATATCTGGACTGGTTTTGGACCAGTTCTGAGCTAGTCCCTCAAAAGTCCAGTCCAGACCCGGTCCGAACCCGTTCCCCATGGACCACTTAACATCCCTACTTGCCCCGTCACATCCTGTCCCAATTTTGTCCCGTCAATTCTTATCTTGATAAGTTATATCAAAGCAATAATAAAATACATGTAAAATTGAATTTTAAACATTTTTATTTAGAGCTAAAAGATTATTATCTTAATAAAATCTTGGGTTATTGGCATTTTTTTAAAATCCCCAGCTGTCCCACATACAACACTACGTGTGACTATACCTCCGGGCTAGTCCCGTCCCAAAACAAGTCTCGACTTGTCAACGAACGTACGTACATATTTATAAACTTATATTTTTGATTCTCGTTCAGTGCAATACCCGATACTGCCACAAATAAATTGTCACATCAATACTATAAAGAGTAAACGATGCATTAGACAATAATTTCTATAAATAGAATTTTAATATGATCATTTTGTAGAGAAGTAATAACGATAACGATAAACGGCATTATAAATAATGTTCAAGAATTTACTATTGTTTGAAAGTAATTCCCAGTTTTCTATGTAATTTCCAAGGAAATCGACGTTAATTACGTTGCTTTTCGTATGTATTTGAATTTCTTTTTCATTTTTGATGCTAATGGTTGGGTCTTCAAAACAATAGCGATATAGAAAAAAATTTATTTTATTTCAGGCTATGAAAGAAGTTTGATTAAAAATCAAGTTATAATTCTTGAAATTTATCTGGCCACACACGTGGGTTGTTTGGTTCGAATTTATCCTTGAGGCTTTTCTCTTATGATCGGGTTTGGCAAAAATTGTTAAAAGTAGTAAGTTTGATATTGTATTGTTTATATTTGCTCTAATAGAAGGTGATCGATTTTATGACTATACGCTGATCACGAAAGAATTGTTTTTTTCGAGATATTTTTTTGAAAAACCTTGTTTAAATTATTGAAATATAAGAATGTATGTGTCATGAAAATTTCAATAATCGTATTAATAATATTCTTGAAGATCGTTCAGTAAATCATTCCATACTATGATTTATTACATTTTCCTGACATTCATTTATATTTATATCCATCACACACCTATAATTTATTAACACAGGTCTGACGTGCCTGAGTCTGGTCGCTCAAAAACAGAAACAATTATAGGACAAATAAGTGATACACAAGAAGTTTTACGTTCTACACTTGTAGACATTGCGAATAGAGAAGAAAAACTAGATGCTTTAAAGCTAAAGTCAGGTAATTGAGTGTTTACTTAAGAAGCTGAGAAATAATTTATTTATAAAATTTGGTTTTTGTACATATAAAAGACAGTTTAAAAGATGCTGGTCTTAAATTCTCGGAGGTCACTACTAAAGTTCGTAGAGATATGTCAAAGAAAAACGTGAAAATGACAATCATTCTAACAATTGTAGCACTTGTCATAGTAGCTGCTATTATTAGTAAGTAATTAATTATAAATATTGATAAAATTAAATAAATCAATAAATATTTATTTATTTTTTGTTCGCACGATATTATTAAACTAATCTATATATTATCCTTGTAAAGTTCCGATCGTTCTTAAATTTACAGGAAAAATCTAAGAATATAATTTTCCTTTTCATATTTAATGTCAAGCTGGGAACGTGTAAGTTCTAAACGCAGCTTGAATATCTTCTAAATAACTTATTCTATATCAACCATTAGGAAACTTCTCTTTTTTTGTTTAAAGGTTATTTATCAAAATGAAAAATAATAATTTATGCGTCACAAATATTTTCATTCTTTCGAAGATCAAATGTTAACAAAAATCAAATTTAGTCAATATTTATGGATCTTATAAGTTCAGATGTGGTAGGTTTGAATAAAGTTGGCTCCGAAGTATTTCTATTGGCCGAAATGCTTTCGGTAAATTCATCAACCCAGAAGTAGAAACTGATAATTCTTGATAATGGTAATTCGTCACCCGAGATTCGAACACTAGATTGCTTTCAGTAAATATGATTTTCGAAAACTTACAGCTATTTCATAAATCCGGAACAATTAAAAAAATTGATTATTCGGCCAATCATTAAGTTTATTGATGTCAGCAATCTATCGGTTGGCAAAATAATCAATTTTTTCAATTTTCCGGGCAAATCACGCTTCCTGTTCGATAAATCCTAAATCCGAAATTACGTTCTTTCGAAGCAAACCTTAAATTTAAAAGGTACTCATCACTTTTGTATTTCTTGAAACAAATTCAAAACCGATAATGAAATAGTTTAATATATGTAATTTCATTTCGGTAATTTTATTAATCGGATTTAAAGATTATCATTTCATGGAAAAAGCAAATAGAGACAGATTATCCTTTTTTATATAGTTACTCTGATTGGCTAAATATAATGTCTACATTTGCATCATGACCTTCAGCGAGATTGCTAAGGATCACTCCAATATCTATATTTTGAACTTCGAAACGGATAATATGAACCGTTTTTTACGTCTCCAAAAACAAACGGATACATTTTCAATAGTCCTAATTTAAAGTTTAATATTGATGTTGCCACTGTATGTTACGCTCGCCAAATCAAAATATCATCATGTTAAAAGATTATAATTGGAATTCAACGTACTTTAACTTTCGCATTCAGATAATAACAAGAGAAACATGCAGAACTATGTCGCACGGCAAGGAACTTTGCCTCATAAGTTAAGTTCTTATATATTGGCTTAGAAATGGAGGCTAAAACAATGGCTTTGAGACATAATACAGTAATACTAAGCTTTTCACGAGTATTCTTTTAAGGCTTCATGGGAATGTTCTCTCGTTTTAATATGGGCACAAAGTTAGACACGAGCTGTCATTAGCGATTCCCATGAAATTGTTAAAGACGGCTTGTACCCGAGCGATTAACATCTTCACAAGATGCTGCCAAGGTTTTTTTGAGGCTTTTCAAAATATTGTGTTTTTTAAGTGCATAGTAATAAACGCATTAACACGACATCGATCATTCCGTCAAACTACAAATGGCTTGGTTCATTATGGCTGTGATTTTTCTTATTTTTATTTTTATTTTTTATTATTAAATTGAAAATTGTAAAAGTTTATATGTGTGAAAAACTGTTATGGTGCCTACGATCGGATCAACAGAGGTGGCAAAGCTCTGACGTACGTCATTTACTTTGAACATGGTCGATCAATGAAAGAAATATAATTGATGATCCTTAACAGTAACCTCGATTCAACGAGCATTAAATTTTAGCCCAATAAATAGACGAAGTTTTCCACTTTCTTTCAAAGTTGCGAAGATAACGATAAATTTTCTTTTTTTTTTTTTTGAAATTTAAAAAGAAAAAAAAGGGTAGAATCATATAAAAATGATAGTTTACCATTATTATTGGATCGCTTTATTAGCGATTTTGCAGGTAACGTAACTATCAATATCATTTTAATTTTGGAGGATATAAAATGACTTTTTGTTCTTTTTTTGTCTTAATTCTAGATCTTCACAGTTTTTGTTCAAGGACAGGACAGCACGGCAAGTGCACCCTCTCCAGCAGAAAGTGGTCCACCTGGACCGAATTCACCTCCTAATGGCCCACCTCCTAATGGCCCACCTGAACCGAATTCACCTCCTAATGGCCCACCTGTTCCCAATTCAACAGATAGTGCGGATAGTGGCCCACCAGATTCGTCTATTACCGCCGACAGTGTCCCGAATCCTACTGGTCCACCTGGACCACCGGGACCAGCCCGTTTGTCAGACAGCCCACAAGGTCCAACTCCTACAGCAGAAAATGGCCCGCCTGATTCGACTCCTGAATCAGAAAACGGCCCACCTGGACCACCGGGTCCATCTCCTACAGAAGACAGTGGCCCACCTGGACCACAGAATCAGGGTCCTGAATCAGACAATGGTCCACCGAGTCCGAGTCCTACATCAGATAACGGTCCAGCTGGACCGCCAGATGATTCATTTGGCCCAACTCCTACACGTCCACCACGGCGTCCTCGTACTCGTACTCGTACTCGTACTCGTAGACCATCTCCTACAGATAATGGACCATCCGATCCGGCCGCAACAGAAGAAAGTGGCCCACCCGGTCCACCTGGTCCCCCGGATTCAAGTCCTGCAGAAGAAAACGGCCCACCCGGGCCACCGGGTTCAAGTCCAACGGAAGAAAGTGGCCCACCTGGACCTCCGTCACGTCGCTAGAAAATTAATATTCTATCGTTCACGGTATTGACATGTGTCGAATAAAATTCTTTTACAGTTTTAATTTTTTTTTTATTTATTTTTCATTTTTCATTTTATATTTAATAAATTGTATGTAGTCTAACTTATATACTAGATTTTTTCTTTGAATAATATTTAAATAAAGTTTGTATCACGCATTTAATTACGTTAATAAGTTGCATAAAATAGAATTGCACTCGATTTATATAGACCTCAAACGCGTCTAAATCAGGATACCAATATAATTGTTTGAGAATGTACCATAGTACTATGTGCAACAACTTATACATAACCAGAAGTGGAGTTCTTAAGCTCTGTTATGCTGAAAAAAATATTTACTCGTGATTAGTACTGAAAACATTGCATAAAAATTAAATTTTCACGTAGTACCGTTCACAAAGTAAAAAAAAAAAAAAAAAAAATACAAATCTTGATTATTCCATATATA